ATGAATTGATGTAGGATGTTCTTCTGTTGTTCGCTCCCAACACTGCTCTCTACAGCTGGTTTCGTCATTGCAAGTACAAAACGCCGGAGGTGGGAGTGTAACCCGAAACCTAGCGACTGCTTTCTGGCTCTTTGCTCTATAGGTCATTTGACGCTGCCAGCGAAACTTAGAACGGGCATCAATTACGTATTACGCAGCTTTGGATTGCCGGCCGTTCTTTTAGACTGTGACAAATACTCGTGGAGGACAGCGTTGAGGACAAGCAAAACCAAAATTTCGCGTCGGCTATGATCTTAGTGATTGGACTGGTCTGAATAAACCCTTGCATCAAAAGCAAAACTTGGCCAGAACAAAAATCTATACAAATTGATTTTATTCTAAATCATTCGAGCTTAGGAATTTCCAATCGTTTCTAGACTTCGAACTAAATCTTGGTTTAAACAGATTCCCTCCCAAAATCCTTGTACACAGTGGATAAACGGAATACCGAAACTATTATGGCGGGTCATTATTAAGGCAAATAAGTTTTGCCTACACGATATTTATAAAGAAGGCACCTAGATTCACTTTCAGTACCTTTTCATTCAGTTAGATAGTGTAAATTCTCGTTCAGCCCAAATACGCTACAGCTTCAGCGGCTGAAATCCCTGGTAGTTTACAGCGAAAGATATCGCCGTCTACGGGGTGACCTCATCCTGGCGTACTACATTTTGAAAAAAACTCGGTCATGCTTGCCACCACCAGAAGGCTTAGCTGCAACACAGAATCGATGGGTCATAAATTGAAAATTACCACCCAATACAGTCGCTTTGAGTGCCGTCGAAATTATGTTTCCCTTCGCTTGCCGCCGCCTCCTGAAGCTTAGCTGCGACGCAGTATTGTGTGGTCATAACTTGAAACATGCCACCCAATACCGTCGGCTTGAATACCGCCGGTATCGTTGTTCCCTTCGAGTTCGCCAACCGTTAACGCTCTTTCGACTTTGTCATTTCTGCGCCTACCCATTAAAAAAGCGACTCGATGATGCTTTACACCATTTACATTACTTGATCTGATTTCTATACGTTAAGTGACGATAAAACGCAGACAAACATTGTGCTTACCAACCCCACGAAATCAGAGGTAGGCGGGTATACCTATGTGTTAACGTGGATAATATGGTGAGTCCACAGATGTGTTTTTCAATTTTGTGTAAATTAATTGAACTAACGTTAATCCCACAAACCATCCCACGGGACTTGTCAAATCTTGGCTTTTTTTATCCGTATTTACACCGTTGCTTCATTTTTCCATTGTTCGGCGACACGCATCATAGCAATGGCACAAACGGGTAATATGGATACAATAAGCTAAAGCTTAACAAATCCCGTGGGTTGGTTTGTGTGAGTTACACATAAGTTCTAAAAAGTTATATTAAGGTGAAACACACGTCTGTGTACTCACCATATTATTCATATCAACACACATGTCTTTCCATTCATCACGATTTCGTAGGCGTTGGTGAGGACAATGTTTATCAGCGTCTCGTCGTCACTCGGTGAACAGAATTCAAAACAACTAATGCCGGTGTTGTAATGCATCATCAAAACTTTTTTAAAATAGGTGAGGTGGGCGCATCATTGACATAAGTCGAAAGGGTGTGCCATCGATGGCAAATTCGAAGAAACAAATAATTTCATCGACATTCCAGATGACTGTATTGGGTGGAAAGTTTCAGCTGGTGACCGATCAATTTGGTGTTTCGGCTAAGTTTAAGAGGTGGCGGCAAGCATGACCTGATTTTTTCATGGTCTGGTATGCCAGGATGAGGTCAACTCATAGAGGGCGATAACTACCGCTTCACACTTCCAGAGCTTTTAGTCGCAGGTGGTATAGCACTTGGAACAATCCACTCATGATTTTGGTTGCTGCTTGTTGCGGGGTCTCCAGTGCAGCCAGAGGGCGTTTTAACCAGCTTTGCCAGGCATGAATCACGTGACCTACATGCGACCTCACATATGCATTGGTCATTTGAGGGAAGATGGAGGGGTCGAACCGGCGGACTGCCCTTCGTAAGAGAACAATGTTTTGGTTCTCGGTTTTGGATGCCTTGAAGGACCGCAACTTGCATCACAAGCCCAAGGTCTCGCTGCTGTGAGGCGGTCTTAGACATGTGGTCTCCTTGATGCCCTTGTGGCGTACATGTACAGTTTTGCAGTTGTCTGCATTGAATGGAAATAGCTTTGCTTTTATGATTTCAAAACCACGGCCTAAGTCCCGTTCCAGCAGATCGTGATCTTTCTGACTACCGATCGCCCGTCATACCTTGATGTCATTGGCAACAGGCGAGAAATTCGACTCGATGACCCCCACTAGGTCTTTCATGAAGAACAGAAATATGCGCTGCCTTAACACTGACTCTTGTGGAACACCGCAGTCTACCACAATAGGATAAGGAAATGAGTTATAAACATTAACCTAATCCCCGCTGAAGGAACTTGCATATCCATCCAAAACAGTGCACTCAACTCCAGAAATTTGCACAACTTTCATGTTGTAATCTCACACGCGTTGCTGGATCGGTAAGACGAGGTACTTTGCTTTCCTGTAACTATTCCCATCAAGTAGGAGAAACATGACTACTCGATACCTTGTTTCCGCGCATAGTAACTTTGAAGTGATTATTCAGGTCATAGATATGCCCAACTGGCAAATTAGTCGCCGCTGCGATTCTAGAGTTTCCGATGTCCTTGCGAACGGTAGTTGCGCTGGTCTGTCGATATGGTTGATGCCTGTAAATCACTAGTTATCACAAGGAATCAAGCCGAGCGACCTCATCCGTCCGGTGCGGCAATTCCAGATAGCGCGTTAAAACGCTTCCGGCTTGTGGCTTGAAAAGACGTCCTACGCCTCAATGTATGCTGTCCACAGTTCTTACTCGATGGGACATGTACCCTTTGGGCTCGGTACTGGTCACTACAAGCGTGGTGCACAACAGGTTAGGATGGAAAGCTATTCCACCGCGTGACTTAATTAGTGATCCTTCTATAGTTCCGTCGACATTCCAGGCACTGGTTCATCTTTCGAAAGCACCGCGCAAAGTTGCCCAGCATTCACTTCCCCCAGATACACAGGAACAGCTTTCATTACTAGAGATATTTGCGAAAGTTAAATATTAACTATCTGCGCTTGTCTGTGATATAACGATGAAAGTCTTGTAATGCAGACCAGTCGGAGTCATGTGCTGTGCATTTTCCGCATAAACTTATGTAAACCCACCAGTATTACCCATCCAATTTATGGTCCCCTGGTGAGTCAACAAAACAGGACTCGCTGTTATTACTGTCTGCACGTGCGAGGTAAACTTACCTGGTGCAGTAAGAAACTCCGGTCCTATATTCTATCCAAAGTTTATCCTACCCTTGCGACTTACGTTGCAGTTAGTTAAGCACATTTCCTTTTCATATGTGTGACAGCACATTTCATGTAAATATAAGTAAATAAATGGATAAATGTATATTCTCCATTGTACATGAGAAACACCATCGAAGGGCTGAGCGATTTGTACAAGTAGCAATTGTCTGATCATGAGAGCAATCGTTCCATTCATGACTAAATGGGTGTGCTGTCTAACCATGCCACCAGTGCATCGGGGAAGACTGAAATCTAAGAGCATTGTCAAGTCATCAAATCAAGAGAACGTTTTTATGCACCCATGAAGGATGAGTTTTCAGCTGTAACACACGCGCGATCGAAACGGTAAAACGAGCAACACTGTAACCTTACAATGTGCTCCTGGCAGTATGCTTTATTTTAGCAGTTAACGCAGTCGGGTTACAGCTTACGGGTTTGTTGGAAACCAGTCATGAGATGACAACAGCTTGTGTGATGATAACAATACGGCACCCATTGACCCGTCAGCACATACGGCCAGGCTGTTATTCTCAGTTGCTAGCACAACGATACACTTCGCAGGAAACCCGTTGCTGGCTTTTCACCTGCATGAAGGCCGACTATTGATCGACCGAACTATGACACGTTCAGTGCGGCTATGTGGTATCCGGCTCACGTCCAGTTCTCATAGCTGAACGGCGTGCGTTCCCTAGGTCTTGCCATACGGTCGGGACATGATACATTCATTGCGGCTGTGATATCTGGCTAACGTTCACTTCTCATAGCCGAACGGCTCGGTGTTCTCTGCGATTGTGGGCGCACATGTGGCGTCTGTGTCCAATCTCAAACCTGCCCGCAAAGCAATTGGCGCCATTGGACAGTAGCAGTTCGGTGTACCGGTTGTACGTCAGCATCTGAGTGCACCTTTGCAATTATGCCATATTAGTAGGTTGTACTCTCCACAAGTTTACTAGGCATAAGTGCATGGAGTATCCTGAGATGGCCATCTGGAAAACTTAATCGCTGTGATTAACTTTGGTCTGCAACTGCTTTGGATTTTCTCAGTTGTGCTCTTTTCGAGAAAGAAACTGTCATGCAACCTCCAAACAAAGTATTGCTTCATCTGAGTGCTCACAAAATTCAAAGACGTTGAATTTAAAAGATTCAACCTTTCTCAGCCAATTCATTTTATCTTCGTTACTATATGTGGTTGTTGTGTTTTGCTGAGCATTTACTGCTTTGTGCTTGCCACTTGAGTGTCCAGCGTCCCAGCGTACATTTTAGCTCTTACACCCATAATGTACAGAATCCTTATCTTCCTGATTACCCATCAGACCTCTCTAACTACTTCAACCGGGATCCTTGTGGTGCAACCCCACTGCATACTGCACCCGTGAGACACTGATTTAAATGCAATACTGTGGACGAGAAAAAGGCATTGGAATTGATCCCTGGTTTGTAAATGCCCGCTGGCAAACCTAACTATCTCGTATGAGCATTGTCCTAACCCGCTACAACTATTCTGGTTTACTTAGATAAAAATGTAAGCTCACACTTAATTTTGTGTACCTCCAAGCAAGTGTATAATGATATATTTTGTGCTTATTTGTCATTTTTATTTCATTCAGCGAATGTCACAATGCTTCGGAAAGGATCAAAGTTAGAGTGTGGTAAGTATACGACACAATCGGTAGTTCCATTTTCCTGCAACTTCTTGTGCAAGTGAACTTGTGTTGTTCAGAAATACCACGAAGTAAGTTTGCTCCTTGTTTCCTGACCGACTTTTAGCTTTAAAACCTGGACACTCTGAGTGGCCTTAGTTCAGAGAGCAGGTGAAGTAAACCACTATACTTCAATTTTCATTTGGTTTGAAGATACTAAAAGCTGTGCTACAAAGCGTGTCTTGCTCCAATTTCTATTAAACCGAACTTGTATTATGCATTATTTTCTCTGTGATCAGTGACAGAGACAGTTATCAAGCTTTGTCCAATCATTATGACGCTGGTTATTTATACATATTCGGTCAACCATCTTAATTTGGTGCACTATGCGGCTGATTTTGGGGTTCGGTTATCCCACAGTTCACATAAATTGTGTGATCACCTGACCATCCACTGACTGCGTGGTGCAAGGGTACTCAACAGCGTCAATCTCTTGCATATTCAGCTTAGGTAATTTCGATCGCCTGTGGTAGGATAATGATTTGTCCAACATCAAAAGACTCTTTCGGCCCTGGCAATAAGCCTGCCAGGGGTAAAACAAATGGTTTCTGTTCCACTTTCGCAATTCGGTGCCTGGTTTTGGGCGTTTCTAACCTTTCTACCGCTTCCCCGATACTCCAAAAATGAAAAAGTGGTTGTGTTGGCGCTTAACGAGGAAAGCCTTCACACTCTGACAGCATCTTAGCTGTCGGAACCTTTGTTTTGTAGACTACTTTCGGTCTGAAAACTCTACGCAAGTGAAAAATTGCACCTCCTGTCTAATGTCATGTATAGAATTTCACTCATGATGTCATCCACCATCCATTAATCTTTCGCTGTCTGGTTTTTACAGGGATGAAGACAATGATCTCAAATCGAAAATTCGGCAGAAGTTCACCCGAGAGTCGGATGATTTCCTGGGGCAAACTATCATCGACATAAGAACTCTGAGTGGCGAGATGGATGTTTGGTACAATCTTGGTAAGGTTGATTATAATACCTACTCACAGCAGTAAACAAGCTAGTAACTTAAACGCAATTTCGCCAGACTAATGTCCCGGAAGAATAGGTTCGCACCTGTGTACTAAACAGAGCTCAATAGCAATCCCGATTAAAGTGTACATTTCGCAGCTTTTCTGAACAGCGCGTCAATACAAGTTAGAACACTTTTTGTTCCGAACCTTCACATCAGATCTCGTTAGAAACAGAACTTAGTGCACAAGCATCCACTGTTTATTGCTAACTGAGCAAACAACTAGGTAAAACCGTCGATTTCATACTTCAGATTGTGTCAGTGACGAGATTAATCGTCCCTCAGACTAGTGTATTCGCCTTAACTTGACGCTAGACACAATGACAGCTGCAGTATGATCTCCATTTTCGATTCAGTGTTCCTACAAATCAAACGGCGTGCCATACAGGAGATGAAAAGGGCGGCAGTAGACTCACATCTGCTGAAAACGGCATTCGGAGAGTTCTGTTGCATCCTCGTGCCTGTCGAGAATAATGCTATTTAATCTAATTACCTTTGCTTGGTTTTACCATTCTGTTCTTCAGTGATGGCAGTTTACTCAGCAAAGAAAACCCCAAAAATTGACCGCAATATTCGCTCTAAATCGTCCGTACACCCACCAACAGTATATATATATATATATATATATATATATATATATATATAAAGTTAATGCCATTTTCATTGCGTTGTTCCACCTATGGGATTCTTACTTTGATACAGCTGTATTGCAGCCACCTATCTACCAATCAGTGCAGCCGCGTAGACCGTCAAGCAAACCAAGTGTGTCCCACCGCCAACCCTACCCGGCTCGCACGCATTCCGTTATTCACTTTGGCTCACGAACGCGTCTGAGCATTCCGCTTGCAAACTCCCAACATACTAGATTCGCCTTACTAACCAGCAAAAGTATCACTCCTCATTCATGGACCCCTATTCATGCTCTTTACATGGTGGGCTAAGCTCAGGCAACAAGCCAGCAATTTATTTCACTATGTCTATGTAGTAGATGACACGAATCTTAGCTAATAAAAACTACTGGGTCTACACTGTATATCTTATGTGCTCAAATATCAACACACTCAGCTTTGGCCTTTAGCAAATTTGAAAATTATACGAGAGTGTACATTTTTGCCATAATTGTTTTGGGTTCTTCACAGTAGGTTCTTACTCAGACAGGATGCCATACATCCGGTGGCGCACTAGACGGCCCTTTCTTTCCATTTGGAGTTGTCAGTAGTGAGCACACCTCTGTTCACCGCGGCCGGACCCAGTTAGACAGCCATCGCACATTCGGCAAGGCGCTCGGATCTCGTTTCATTTTTTCGTACTCATGCTCAGTGCTGGACCTAAACCATTAACCTTACTGTTAAAAGTCAGCGACTTATACCACTAAGGCATACGTGACGGTAGCGTACAACCATGACTGGCATTTTACTCGAAGATGTTAGAGGACAATTGATACAAGTGTCATCAGGCTCATTGTAAGGGTAAGGAAGCAAACCCGAATTAATTAGTGGGCACCAACCTCTGCTTCTGGCGTAATGAGCCATGTTACTAGGCGGCTTATCAATGGAAGGGCACTTTGCCTTGCTGGCACTATACTCACATAGGGTATGAATGTAATTCAATATTGCTGAACTTCTAAGCATGGTCATTTCTCTTTGCTTTCTATACTCGATAAACCTACGTTCATAATTCTGTGTTAAAAGTATAATAAACGTTTAGGTTAATTCGGGGTTATTTCGCCTTGAACCATACTCTTGCAAAGCATTATCGGATTGAACAGAGCCAATCACTGTGCAATCAGCGCTTTACTTTCACTAGAATGCTCTTAAACATCTAACGGCATCACCCCCTTGCGATAATCCCCTGATAATTCGATTTGTGCTCCCATATTGGTAGAAAAAAGAACCGACAAATCGGCTGTCTCCGGGGCAATCCGGTTGCAAATCTCCGTGGAAATCAAAGGGGAGGAACAAGTGGCCTCCTATCACGTACAGTACAGCGTATTGCATGAAGTGAGTTGCATTCATGTGGGTATCACACAATGCGCTATTTTCTCTGTAGTCGTAGACATTCGCCACAGAGCTTTATGTGTCAGCCCAACTCTCGTCAGCACAATCGCAATCCACTCTTATCGCGACAGCACCAAAGGGCAACCGGCAGAAACTCCATCTCTCCATCAGTAAATAGGAAGGGTACGAACTGACTTCCTTCACACCCCAATGCTCTAAGAATCCTCTAACAATGGTACGCTAAATGAGAAGCATCATATTGATTAATTTCCCTTTTATAATCGCATCAGTCCAGTTACTCCTGATCATCGGCACTTAACATTTGGATCAACCTTTCACGGTACAAAGGCAGCTTCCTGGGGTCAGTAATGTCCGAGACATCGTGGATAGCACACTTAATCGTGAACCACAATCATTACCTGCAAATCCCTTTTTAGCCCAAGAAGTTGCATTTCGAACCGCGCATACTTGGTGCTGTAGTGCAACTAAAGCACTCTTTACTTCATTTTTCGCACGATTCGTGGTATGTACTTCCGGAGTTGCTTGTTCCTAAGGCTGGGAACAGCCACAGGACGCCTGTGCCTATAGAGGGACCATCGATGACTTGCGTTGCACCACGCACAGCTCCATCCACACAAACCACATCCGGCGTCGTGGCCTGTAATAATCCTAATTGGTGGATAGAATACCAGAACGTGGATAAAGCAGGTAGTATTTTTACGCTCGATGCCAAATTAAACCAAAAGGAAAATACTGATTATTTGGGGAGGATAACGGGCTCCTGGCTCACTGATGACCGGTTGGCCTATGTCGCAGGCTGCCTGGATCAAGGTATTGAGGGACAGATGCGCTATGTGGATTAGACTTCTCTATGCAGCAACCGGGGGTCGTGTGGACGAGATCCACGACAGAGTCGAAACAGACCCACTCTCCCTCGACTTACTGACAACTCCTATGATATTGGGGTAAACATGTCTACAAGATGCACGCAGTGTAATGACCGAGCTGTAGTCCTTTTCCACATTGAGTAGAACTTCTCTTTGAGCCTACATCTATCAAGAAGATTGCATATACCGTCCCCCCAGTAAAGACTAGCAATCTTCTGAAGACAATATGGCGGTTCCGACAAGTAAACATCATGTCAACCTGCGCCCCAAGTGCAGCCAGAGCTGGGGTACCAACCTGCCAGCGCCGTCAAAAATGCGACAACCAACACCCGCGATCACATGTGTGGACTAACTGCAACGACGATGGAGCATCTATCGTAGTATTGCCCTAGGTTAGTAAATGAAACCAGAAGCAGCGTACTTACCATGTTATGGCACCTGCTCATTTTACTTAGCCATGGCAAATTCGGTATCGGATATCTAGTGCTCAAAATGATTACTGACAAGACTGGCCTATCTGAGACACACACGACCCCATGCGCTGCATTACCATATGTCAGACGTCGATGGGCGAGACTGCATTAGCGCTTGTCGCTACCGTAATCGATATCTTGCTTCCAGCTGCGGTAGTTCTTTCTTGTAAAATTGGGCAGCGATATTTTTGATGTGATCACTCCATAAGCGGTGACCCCCTGCCATAGCTTCCCAAAACCTAGAGTCAATAACTGGTCATAAGAAACTTATCTTAATCACTTTCAGGAAACGCGGTTTCGGCTTGCCTACACCTCACTTACCTACAAGCAGTTGGCCATACAATAGGCGCTTCGGTATCCTCGTCACATCCATACTGTGGACATATCACAGCCACCTCATGTGTCGCGGTAGACGCAGGCAATCCATTCCGCACATGTCGCTTCAGCGGATCCCTTTCATGTCAGGGACTATCACACCAGCGGAGTCGCATAATTTGGAGCCAGCAATGCTGGTGAGCTCATTCCAGAAAACGGGTATCCTACTTGTAATTCACCATGTTTTGCTACCGTAAAGAAGAGCTGACAACATTATCTACTTGTAAGCGATAAGCTTGGTCCCAACGGTCATCTTAGGATTCCACCACATCCGATGTCCCATCTTACCGAAAACGGCGCACGCTTTCGATGTGTAAGTGCGCAGTTTGCCGATTATTTGCAGGTTCGTCGACAATGTGCTTCCGCTTTATGATAAATTTTGTTGGGTTCTCCAAGACTTCGCCAGTACTTTTAATTTACGGCAACTCAGGGGTTCCACACCTGGCGACGGCGGAAAATGATAAGTATTTGCTGTTTGTTGGATAAAAATGAAACGTTTAGATCCCTATGACAGTTTAAGCAACTCGATGGGAAAACGAAAACTAGCAGTTGTTAACATTTCGCAATCAGAAGGATCAAACCGGCGCTCTGTGTGCAAAGCAACTGTTTGTAAACCTAAAGCTGCCATAGATGTAGAAGTGTCACATCTGTTCTCCACCGTCCTTCTTTTCATCAGTCACACCTTAGCTGTATTTATACATCTGTGAACGTACTAACATTGACGAGATGTTAACATCTGTCAGTTTTGTTTGTGTTAATAGTGCTTCCATAACTGGCGTCCGTCGAAGCAAGAGCCGTCGTTATAAGTTGCAACTCATTCTCGCTGTGTGCAAACAACGCGCTGTCAATGGCAAAGGACAACTTCCGGATGGATGTCTCAACCGCTCTGGTTCATACATCGTAACGATGGATGTTTAGCAACACACCATCATTGTGGTACTCCAGGACCACACCATAATCACAAGCACTAAAACCACAAGACATCACTAGTTCGGTAAATGGTAAATAGGGCAGGGGCTGAGACACAGTTTTGCTCCGCTCCACAGTTAACACCAAAGTCATCCGAAATTTGTCCACATATCTGCAACCTCATCCACATAACGCTGTGATGGTATCCAATTACTTACAAATTTAGTTTGGCAACCAAACTTCCCAAAAATAGCCAAAATGCACCACGGTTCACGTTGTCAAATGACTTGATGAAGTCACGTAATAACGAGTAGTAAGGTGGCATTTGCTCACGAAACTTCTGCTACAGTTGATATGCCGCAAAGTAGATATCGACCACACAACCGCCCCAAAAGAATCCGTACTTCTTCTTGACCACCTTTGGTTTTAGGACGTGAGTCCGTTGCACAGGGTCCAAGCAATCATTCTCCAAACACAGCCTTACAGGTTGATATCAAGATAATTGTTAACACATTGCGTGCTTCCTTTGCTGTTGTATGATGACTGCATCCTACCGTTCTAGCGGTATTTGTTCTACCATCCAGCTACTATCCGCCAAGTGGTGACGAGCACGTAGCGGTATCTTATCGACACCGGCGCATTTGCAGCTTCGCACCTGAGTAAAAATTATCTGTCTTTCATGGGGTCCGGGAATGCACGTACGACCGTCCTTCAATTATGTGTTATTTATCCCACTTAGCGCCCGAGTGGTTTTACAGGAGACATTCAAATTTCCGACGTTATATCTGCATAATAGCTGCAAACCATATAGGGATAGTTGCATGCATGTTTTCCAAGACTGAGGCCTACGTTGCGGATGACGTGCTTTGTCATTTCATTCGGGTTTAACTTGGCTTTTGTCGAACGTGTGCTAAACAACAAGCTTCTCATCTGCTACGCAATACATAGCTGCGCTTGATGTGAGTGTCGACAAGGTGTTTACCGGTCAAAAAAGCGCCATCTATATTCTGTTGGTTCCATGAGACAATTGGTCGTTGCTGGCGGAGACAGAGTGCATGGTTCTCGTGGCCGTGCTAGGCTCAAATAGTGATTCCATCCAGTATGAAACTGTCTACGACCCAGCCAAAGCTTTATGCACATCTGGTAAGTAGGATTTCCAAATGAGATGAACGGGGATGCTGCTATTGTGCCTGGTGAAGAAGGGTGGGCCGGCTCCGCTGTTGAAACTTGGCTCCAGTCCACATGCCTCTCGGTCGCATTTATTCGGTTTTACACTGGATATGGGTGTGTGGATGGAGCTGTGGGTGTGCAACACAAGCCATCCATGGTCTTTTTAGGCTCACGCATACTGTGCCTGTCCCATGGGAGCCGCATTGACAGGCAAATCCAGAACCAGCTGCCGCCAATCCCATGCAAATAACCGTGTATGCTATATATATATATATATATATATATATATATATATATATATATATATATATATATATATATACGGTTAGTCTGATGGAAGAAGGCCGATTAGCGTTCATTTACCTACCGTGGCTCCCTTATGGTGAACGCCGGTCATTTACGGTTGTTGTCCCCAACATACAATAGCCATCCAATGTTTAGCAAGATTCGCAACATGCTACTGCGCGTGCAGAGACATGAATTTCTCTCTCACCTTAGTGGTGCGGACGTATGGAATTCTCGGCAGACGAGTGATGTAGTTCAGGGCTCAGCTGAGAAAAAGCCTAACGTCTAAAGACACACTGACATGAGGCTGTTGATCATCGAGCGAGATGACTACAGACAGCCACTACGTGTTTCCAGCGTTCGCTAGCTGTCAGCTAACTTCGCGCTGAGTGATGAAGGTCATGGCCAACCGTAGGCGTTGGAGCGATCGATTGTTATCTCTGTGTGTCTCGCTGGCTACGCAGCGAAGTCCGCCTAAGCAAACAAAACTGTCACTTGAATGCGCGCACGTGATGGCAGCTCAGCTGACGACGAGGTTAGGCATTGCAACTCTTGTCAAGATTATTGAATCACAGGTAATGGAGCAAGAGCAGACAATGCAGTCGGGATCACGTAACGTTCCTGTTACTCAGCGCTCGCTGATTATTCGGCTGTACGGTGAATGCGGTTTAAACGCCGCATCAGTTTCAAGAAAATACAATGCAATGAACGCAGGAATGCGTCCCGTCACCGCCCGGTATGCGCTTAAACGTGAAGAAGTTCGAGCAAACTGGGAGTGTGAACATGGAGAGAACCGGACCGCCTCGCATCACCACCGACGACTGTTCAGCTTGCGCTGTAGTCAGTGAAGTGTCAAAATGTCCCGATCTCTTCACATCCTTCGGATCACACAGCACTGTGACAC